CAGAGTCTCACACTGTTGCCTGGGCTGGAGTGCAATGCTCCAATCTCGGCTCACTGCAACCTCCGCCTCCCAGGTTCACATGATTCTCCTACCTCAACCTCCTGGGTAGCTGGGATTACAGGTGCACACAACCACACCCAACTAATTTTTAGTAGAGATGAGGTTTCCCTATGTTGGCCAGACTGGTCTTTAACTCCTGACTTCATGATCTACACATCTCAGCCTCCCACAGTGTTGGTATTACAAGTATGAGCTTCCACACCCAGCCACCTTTGGGGAATCTTAAGAATGTTTTCTTTTGTTTAAAATTTCCATGGCTGTCACTCTCTTTTGAAAGAGTTTTGAAATTCCAGTGCAAGGCAGGTCTACCTTTTCAAACATAACTATGTTTCAGTGATCACTTAAGGAACTGAGTTGCTCCATCTCTCTGCACCTTTCCCACTTTTTGCCTGGTTTCTCACTTGCATTTCAGGACCTGGGCTTTTAAGATTAAAAAAAGACATGGATGAATCTGGAAAACATCATCCTCAGCAAACTGACACAAGAGCAGAAAATGAAACACCGCATATTCTCACTCATAGGTGGGTGATGAAAAATGAGAACACATGGACACAGAAAGGGGAGTACTAAACACTGGGGCCTATTGGGGGGAAAAGGGGAGGGCCAGTGGGAGGGGGAGGTAGGGAGGGATAGCCTGGGGAGAAATGCCAAATGTGGGTGAACGGGAGAAGAAAAGCAAAGCACACTGCCATGTGTGTACCTACGCAACTGTCTTGCATGCTCTGCTCATGTACCCCAAAACCTATAATCCAATAAAAAATTTTAAAAAAAAATAAAAAATAAAAATAAATAAAAACTAAAATAAATAAAAAAAGAGAACCAGAATGAGGTAATTCAGTCATTTGTTTTTCTTTTCTTTTTTTTTTTTGTATGAAAAGTTTGACTTATTTCTTTTTTTTTAAATTGCATTTTAGGTTTTGGGGTACATGTGAAGAACATGCATGATAGTTGCATAGGTACACACGTGGCAGTGTGATTTGCTGCCTTCCTCCTTTTCACTTATATCTGGCATTTCTCCCCATGCTATCTCTCCCCAACTCCCCACCCCCCGCTGTCGCTCCCCTATTCCCCCCAACCGACCCCTGTGTGTAGTGCTCCACTCCCTGTGTCCATGTGTTCTCATAGTTCAACACCTGCCTATGAGTGAGAACATGTGGTATTTCATTTTCTGTTCTTGTGTCAGTTTGCTGAGAATGATCTCCAGGTTCATCCATGGCCCTACAAAGGACACAAACTCATCATTTTTGATTGCTGCATAATATTCCATGGTGTATATGTGCCACATTTTCTCTGTCCAGTCTCTCATCGATGAGCATTTGGGTTGATTCCAGGTCTTTGCTATTGTAAACAGTGCTGCAATGAACATTCATGTGCATGTGTCCTTACAGTAGAACGATTTATGAAATCTGTCAATTTTCTGGATGCACATCCATTATTATTACAATATTTAAGTCAGAATCAGAACTCTATAAAATGCCTACACTATTATGCTTTTAACCAGAATTTTCTTGAGGAACCAAACTTACCTATCTTTTATTAAAATAATTAACTGACTATATGTGATACCCAGCTAATGAATATTTTGTCTTAGAAGTATGAAGTTTAGATACCCAGAACTGTTTTAAAATCCCTTAGCTTATATTCACAGAAAATGTTTGCTTATGACAGCATTCTTAGGTAAGTTGCCATGTGCCATTTCTCATCTAGGAGAAATTTGTTAGTATTGCTTTGTAAAAATAATGTAAGTTTGATAATATAAGCAACTGAATACAGAGAAACCCATTTTCATTTATCTAACTGTATCTCTTATATTTTACCATTCTTCAAAGAATACAGTCTTCAGTTCTAGAATTACTTTAATTTATTTATTTATTGAGATGGAATTTTGCTCTCTTGCCCAGGCTGGAATACAGTGGCTCAATCTCGGCTCATAGCAACCTCTTCCTCCCAGGTTATAGTGATTCTCCTTCCTCAGTCCACTGAGTAGGTGAGATTACAGGCATGTGCCACCATGCCCAGCTAATTTTTATATTTTTTAGTAGAGACAAGGTTTTATCACATTGGCCAGACTGGTCTTGAACTTCTGACTTAGGTGGTCCACCTATCTCGGTTCCCAATGTGTTGGGATTACAGATGTGAGCCCCTGCACCTGGCCTTTTTTTTCTTCTTATAATACCAGACAGGGAGTTAAATGGAAATAAGACATAATGAGCTATTTCTATATGTATAAATAGGCTGTGATTTTTTTAACTTTCTAACTAAACTAATTTATTTTGAAGTACATTATATTTACATTTTCACCTGTGTTTAGAATTAAGCACTTTGACTGGTTATACTTGCATACAAAAATAGTCCAGAAAAAAAAGTTTTTGAAACAAAAAGATAGAAAGTAAGATCCTAAATCAATTTATTTTAGGATCTTATTTTATTTTATTTTGTCTTATTTTATATCTAAATTTATTTTAAACATCCCGAAGAATCCAGAGACACTCTTAGTTATATCTGAAGAGTCACAATTCTCATACTCTTGTGTCAATGGCCAACAACCCCACTTTGTCCCTTCTGTGGTCCTCTGTCCTCTTGATCTGTGGTTAGATGAAGCAAGCCCTGGACCACTGGGGGATGAGCCATTTAAAGATAATGGGGCTTACTTTGTCAAAGTTGTGATGCAGAACACACCAAATCCTGGCTTCTGGTGAGATTTAAGTGACATGCCAGTGACTAATGCTTAACAACTAACTTTATAAGCTATAAATATTAGGCCACTCACATGTAGACTTTAGACAGGGAATATTTCAGAATCACGTTTTTTTCCTAATTCAGGCCTTATGAGATAAAAAAGGCTTGAAAACACTATTTTAAATCACCATCACCCCTTCTACTCAAGTGCTACATGCAGAAAGAGAAGTTGAATTATCCCCAGCACTGCAGTGTGGTGTTCTCCAGCAGCAAAGTTTCTAGGCTAGCTCACAGGGCCTAGCCTAGTGGAAATATTAACAAATTGCTGAGTAACTCTTAAATATGGATGCAGTTTCGTCCACTAAGACCATGTACGATGCCTTGGAGCATAGAGATGATCAGGCCATTGCCCTCTGAGGCCTTATTTTGAATGAGTGAAAACTGGCAGCTTTCATGGTGGGTTGGATTCTGTTTTTTTCTTTCCCTAAGCTGTAGATTTTCAGTGCCCAGCCTTCCTATTTCATCTTCCTTAGAAACCTCCCCCACCCTTTTTTCCTGATCAGAAGATAACAATGAGACTAAAGAAAGCTAAATTTGACCTACTATTGAATACAATCTAGAAGATTCTGTTCAGGTGAAAGGGTACAGAAGTAGGGAGAGGAAGGATGATAGTAGGAAGAGGTATCCTGGAAGAATGACAAATGCTGCTAATTATTCAGTAGTAGCCAGAATGTTCTCCTGGGATATGTGCAAGTTGGTGGCTTACAGCAGGTGAGGCACACACTCAGTGGCCTTGTCATTCTAGCTTCAGAAACCCTTAAGATAAAAGGCAATGTATGTATTCCCAAATATTTCCTAATAAACAGGGTATATTCTAACATCTCATTTTAAATGAGATGACATTTTCTTATTTATTGTTTGAATTAAAATTTCACAGGCTCTGCTTTGACCTGCAGTATTTTATCTATCCTGAGTCTCAGAACCCTTTTTGATGGAATTAAGATATTACGTGTTAAAGCCTGTGTGGCTTTCTCTTATTTACTTTAGGAAAAATAATGCCAGGCACATATATAGTGTCTCAGTGCTTTAGTCCATGATGGACTAACTCAAAGTGTTGGGAGATGACTCGTATTATCTTAATATGCTTTATTTCATTGAGGGTGGAAGGTGGGTGGGTGTAAAATGTGCTTCTGCAGAAATGGCCCACATCTTCAGAATATTCTCCTGATACTGTTTGTTTGGGGCAAATGTGCTCAGTTTTTGTTCTTATTCTATCTTTGAGTTTGGGCACCGCATTCTCAGATGTGTTTACATTGAAATTAAACCAATGCAAATGTTTTTACCCTGGGGTGTTGCTAATTCATGAGCCTATTCCCTTTACAGGTTGTTCCTCCTATATAACATATTTCTTGTTGAATGTCTTTTCTTCCCCTAGATTGTTTTCAATAGTAGTTCAATTTTAGCTATCTTTAGTCTCAATTTAAGAAAAACTTTGAGATTAGCCAATTATTCGATTTTGAAATTAGAAAGTTTAATCAGAAAGAAAATTGTACCAGAACACTTCCTACAGTTCCTGAAGAGTAAGCTGTCCAGGCTGAGGGTTCTTTTCATAAGTTGTAGTATGCCATAGAAGCCTACGTGTGTGGACCCTAATGGCAAGTCATTGCCAGAGGAAGATAAAAAGTCTGTGCTCTGTATTTGTGTTGATGCTGCATTTCAGGCCAAACATTTTGCAATCAGACCATGCATTCTAGCATCCTAAGTCCACGGCAACTGTGGCATTGGCTCTTTTTACACCAAAAAGAGAAGAAAACTGGCTAACCCCTGGACTTTCCGACTGCAGTTAGGCCAAGTACCAGGGAACCAGTGTCTGTTCACTGGGATGAAGATTTAAAGCATCTTCTGAGTTTTCAGAGCCTGCCAAGAAAATGTTTAGAGGCAGACTCTGGGTCTTTGTGAACCCCATCCTGTCTTTGAATGAATGACTGGGCTCCTCAGCAGGTCTACAGACTTCTAGTTATTTCTGGGGTAGTGTTGACTCTTGACATTTATTGTCCAGGTCTGGTCTGCAGCATTTTGGATGCCTCCAGGTATGGAGATAGAGTACATGTTATGCCTGGGGAATGTAAATGCCATACCACTTTCCAAGCCTCAACCTCTATCACAGGGCATTTGGATATGGCCTGAGATGGGAATAACCTCTCTTCAGTGGTATCAAGTTCTTATGCCATGTTCTTTTTGTCTTTTCCTCATAATACAAGGCCAAGCCCATCTGCAAAAAGACATTGCTGTAGGCAGAGCAAGAGTTGGAAACCAAGTCTCCAGTCCTGGGAAAAGCAGTGCTATGCAACAGCAATGGAAAGAGGTAGGGAGTTCATCCCGATACTTACAGAACACAAATTTTCCTGGCCCACTTCTCTGTTTTAATTTTTATTTATACATTTTTTCTCATCTTGGTTTTTGATGAAAGCACAACATGCTCAGTTTTATTCTCAGATGTAAGTTCCACTCTTTCAGTGGCTGCATGAAATCATACTTTCTGGGTCACTGGGTCTGTCCCTAGGTAAGACTGTGGTTTTATTGGGTTTAGAGGTGAGCAAAACTACCCATTTTCAAAAAATCAGTGTCATACCATCTTAAGGTGGAAAGGTCCAGTTTTAGCAATATTCCACAAAGGAGTTAAAGCCAGGGTTTTGACTTCAGGCCCAAGTATTATGCCCAAGGATAAGTATCTCACATGAAGGTTTGCATGTGAAATAATTCATGCTATTATTCATTTAAATCTTGTTAGTCCCACTTTACCATACCTGGGTGAGGGAGTTGTTTTTAATTAATATTTTCTGCTGTTGGTGAGGATTGTGTGAACTTTTGAAACAAATATTACTACTTGCATTCCTAATTGCTCAAGAACATCAGTCTGCCTGTCTTCCCTACACACAGAAGCTAGGCCTGTGCATAGTTTATGTTTCATCACATAAGTTAAGATGCTGCCAGGAGTTCAGGCATGGTGGCTCACATCTATAATCCCAGAACTTTGGGAGGCCAAAGTGGGTGGTTCATCTGAGGTCTGGAGTTTAAGATCATCATGGAGAAACCCCATTTGTACTAAAAATACAAAGTTATCTGGGTATGGTGGTGCATGCCTGTAATTCCAGCTACTTGGGAAGCTGAGGCAGGAGAATCACTTGTACCCAGGAGGTGGAGGTTGCAGTGACCTGAGATTCCACCACTGCACTCCAGACTGGGCAAAAAGAACAAAACTTCATTTCAAAACCAAAAAAAGAAAGAAAAAAAAAAACCCAAAGATGGTGTTTAGGGTGCACTCTGTTAAAATCTCTATATCTCCAAGGACAATTTCCCTGAGTCTGAGAACAATTTTCAGAGTACTAGAAAGTAATTTCTGTATTAAGGATATGGGACATCTAGACTGTTCTGAATCTAATTTTATAAATGCTTAGAAAGAACTCTAACTAACTTCTAATGAAACAAATATCTAGAAGTCAAATATTTATAGAGATTCCCACTTCACGTGTGATTTTACATTTGTACCATCTTTTAACACAATAAATATAGAGCAATTTTTTGTTAAAGATAATTCAAAAATTTTGAGAGAAGCTTTAGAAATATAATTTCAAATAGCTATTTTAGGAAGGAGATTATGACATATAATTGAACTTGTGGGATTTTGATTATTTTAAGTAAGTACATTTATTAAGCATTTATTTTATTGTACCTACATTAGTCACTAGAAATTTATCGGTCAGCAACACAAAAAAGTATTGTATTCAGTAAGCTTAGAATTGTGAATATTTGGGGCTAGCAGGCCTGCTTTTACTTCAGGTGTCTATACAACTACTGCATGTATCTGAGGCATCCACAGGAGTGTTCTATATTTCACAACGTTTAAGCACAGGGCTAAGAATCTATTAGTGTTCTGAGGACCTACAACATTCTTTGGGACCTGAAAAAAGTTTATTTATAGGCCCCAAAAATTGGGGAGCAGGAAATGTCCACACAACAAAATTGAGAAATACTTAAAATATTGTAAAATGAGTATCAGTTGCAAAACTGTTAAGCTTAGGAAGCATGATAATTTTATCATATTTAGAAACAACTTGGGCCAGGCACAGTGGCTCACACCTATAATACCAGCACTTTGGGAGGCCAAGGCAGGTGGATCATGAGGCCAAGAGATCGAGACCATCCTGGTCAACATGGTGAAACCCCGTCTCTACTAAAAATACAAAAATTAGCTTGGCATGGTGGCACAGCCTGTAGTCCCAGCTACTCAGGAGGCTGAGGTAGCAGAATTGCTTTAACCCAGGAGGCAGAGGTTGTGGTGAGCTGAGATCATGCCATTGCACTCCAGCCTGGTAACAAGAGCAAGACTCCATCTCAAAAAAAAAAAAAAAAGAAGAAGAAAAATGAAAAAATAAAGAAACGACTTACAGGTTTTCTTATATCTCAAGAGTTCTCAAGTATACACAATGATTGCTGAGTAAGCATAAGTAATTTCTAAGTAAAATGAGAATTTCAGAGTGAAGTTCTGAAACTCCCTGAGAACATTCTATACGAAAACATTACATAAGGCTGAAATCAGGTGTTGGCCAGCTAAGAAACTTCTTCTAAGTACATTTATGCTATTAGCAGAATTTACTGATTTATTGTGTCCTAAATTGTATAAAAATTCCTTGAGCATTTGCCTTTCTCTACATAATTTTTACCAGATTTTAGTATTTAAAATATTTTTTTCTCAAATAGGACAATAGCTACTTAAGTAATCTCTCTAACTCTACTCTTGTCTTTCAATGTGTTGTCCACACTGCAGTCAAAGTAATTTTTTTTTAGGTGAAGTTTCACTTTTGTAGCCCAGGCTGGAGTGTGATGGCACAATCTAAGCACACTGCAACTTCTGCCTCCTGGATTCAAGTGATTTTCCTGCCTCAGCCTCCAGAATACCTGGGATTACAGGTTCCCATTTCCATGCCCGGCTAATTTTTTTATTTTCAGTAGAGATGGGGTTTTACCACGTTGGCCAGGCTGGTCTTGATCTCCTGACCTCAGGTGATCCACCCACCTCAGCCTCCCAAAGTGCTGGGATTACAGGTATGAGCCACCATGCCCAGCCCAAAGTGATCTTATTGATATAGGAGGTAGAAATTATTTAGACAGATAATGAGAGCTTAAAGAGTCCTCAACAGCTCTTCCCTTCTAACAAAAAGCAGCCCAGAAAATTATTTTTTTTTCCTAACAAGAGCAATCTGAAGAATCAAGCTGCAGACAGAGATAAGCAAGCTGGAAGCCTGCATGGGTGAATGCTGACAGCTATGCCAAAAGAAAAGGGCTACTTGGGGGCCATACATATTCAACATGGAGGCTCCATCTTCCCTTTTTGTTACCATGTTTACAGGAACAAATAAATAAGCAACATGGCACAGCTCAGGTAGAGAAACTGCCTGCATGATAAACGATTAGGATAGGGTTACCAGAGATTCACGCCCTATGCAAATGACACACTTGGTCTAACCAGTTTTTCATGTCCTATGTAAATCAGACACTGCCTCCTCACCAGCTGATCTTTAAAACACTGTATTTTGCCATGAACAGGAAACCCATTTTTCCAGGACACCTCTCTGCCACAGAGAGCTATTTGCTTTCTTTTGCCTATTAAACTTTCACTCTCAATCTCACTGTTTGTGTGTCTGTATCCTATTTTTTCCATGGCCATAAGACAAGAAACCTTAGATATTACTCCAGATGAGGCTGTTTCATTGTGGGGGCTCATCCAGGATCAAGGGTAGATTCATCAAAAAGATAATTATATGAGTGGACACCAACTCTCTGCTTTTATTTTGAGTCCATCTGCCCTCAATTTTAAATTGTAAAATGAAACTTAAAAAACTGGGCATCTTATGGCCAGTTAAGAGACCATTATGATTGCTGCCACTTCCAAGACTCAGATGACAGACAGTCTTGCTAGGGAGTACTGAGCAAATCTCCCAGTGTTTTCAGGGTGCTAGGAATATTGGCTCTGTTTTGAACTGGTTTCCTTTCACAAAGAGCCTAGCCATCATCTGGGGCTGGAAGATATCCAGAGGCAATTGACAGTTCTCAAAGGCTTCTGGGCTCTTATTTTTTCAGCCTCTTACTGCCCATTGTGCATAAGAAACAGCATCTCCAAGTTTTTTTCATCAATTGTTTTCTTTCCAAGACCACTGTGCCTCCTGTCCCCTCTCTTTATGCAGTGCTGCAGGAATTTTTACAGTTAAGGGAAATAATCCTTTTAGGCAAGATCAGCAAATGCCATAGTAACTGGGAATACAGCTAAAGGGATTGCCATTTTTTGATTTTTCTAGAAGCAGAGGGCCTCTCCTCCCACCCAGTGAACATCTTTTTCTCTACCCTTTGTCTGGAAAGCGCATGGTATTTCAAGACATACAGCACCACCTAGTGGAATAGGAATCCTCTCCAAGATGTACCTTGTCAAACCTTTGCTAAAACACTGTATTTTTCCCAATTCTACTCTCTTTTTACACCTTCAACTGTAAACCAAGCTTTATGCCCCATATGTGAGTGAGAAAACACAACAATTAGGAGGAAGATGTCTCCCCAAATCAAAGTTTTGTGTCAATAATTTCCCATTAGCAGAAAAAAATGCCACGTTTTTTTTAAATACCCATGTGCCTTAGAAAAAAAAAATGGGTATTTTACATAGTATGGATGTTAACCAGAACCACTGCCTAAGAATACTTTAATCTGGGGTATAATAACAGAATATATGGCTCTACCTAGTATTCTCCCTGTAGTAAACGACCTTGCCTTCATACAACTGTTACATAGTCTGTCCTAAGAGCCATCCATTGGGAAAACATGCAGAGTACAGAAGTCTAGAAAATCAAAGGAAAATCACCAATGGAGGACTAAAATTGCGTTGGTAAGTGTGACTAATCCTATTGCTTAGCTCCTCTGGATCCATGGCTGAGGGTAATGCCTGCATCCACCTTTAATGGATGCTTGGGCTCAGGGAACAAAGGAAGGAAACAGTTGAAGGAATGTCCCCATTGTCATCCCCTTTAACCTGGGTCATTCTAAAAGAAAGAAATAAAACTAAAGGAATTCCTTTTTCTCACTTCTCTTTCTACATGGATAACAGACCATCTTCAGCCTGCACTTCTCTGGAGTGCATTTTGAAGCAATGGGACTCCTATGACCCCAAGACTTTGAAGAAAATGTGGCTCATTTTCTTTTGCAAGATGGTGTGGTCTTCTTATCATCTTGAACTAACCGTTTTGGAGGAAAGCCTCAACTTTAATACTATCCAAAAATTAGATTATTTGTGTAGATGAGAGAGCAAATGGTTCAAGG